CTACACACAGTCCTTGCCATGGTTTTTCAATAAATTCGCCGTCTCCAACGTGAACCTTTACAGTTCTTGAGTTCACATTCAAATCCTGGAACACAAGATAAATTTGTTGTAAATAGTCCCAGAAAGTTTATTAAAGTGGAGGAACAAATGAAGATTTCTAGCAAAATAGAACAGGAAAGTCATGGGGGTTCGTGATCATACTAAATAGCAAATAAGGAAGGATAAATTAGCAGTGAAACCGTTCAATATAAGTTGTATTTAATTCGGTTATTTTCTTATGTGGGCTGAAAAATCTACATTCTTCAACAAATAATAAAGTGGGGAGTCAATTTTGGATCAAACTAATTTTCTTCTGCAGTAGAAAAAGAGGAGCTAAAATTTCAAGAATTATGAATATACGAATTTATTGAAAATAAATATTTTACTGTATTTTCTTGTTTACCTGCAAGAATCTGTGCCAGTCCTCCACTGCCTCCTTGATCATGCTAACCCCCACCACAAAGACCAAGGGAGCAATCAAACTTATTGGTTGAAAGGGAGCCAAAGAAGTGACGGACAACACAGCTGCCAACAGAAAATACAGATTGGCAACTCTTCGGAACTGCTCGAAAAGTGCTTTTGGAAGAAAAGTCATGACATTGTACTTGGTTGTGGAGACGTAGTTCTTGGGGTACTTGTAAGGCTTGGCCTTGTGCAGCTGAGGCTCGTTGCAGAAAACCACCCGCGAAAACCCCGGCTGGCCAAGGAGCTGGCTTGGATCATTCTCAGTTGTGACAGGTCTGAAGCATGCAAAAGAATACAGTTTGCTCCACCTTATCTTCCTCTTTGTTCTTCCAGACGATCCTGCCATTTTTACCGATAAAGATGTAATACTATGACTTCACTCTTTTACATCTGCAAACGTCTCTCTCTCTCTCTCTCTAACTACAAGAAAATGTGACTAAATCTGAAGCTGTGAACATGAAAACTGTAGTGTTGGTTTTAATATTTGCTATCACGGGAGGCACCAAAATTCCGCATAAAAAATGGTACAAGAGAATTGTCGTATATTACATGTATATATGTATATATGTATATATATATATATATTTCTGTCTTTCCTTCTAACTTTCAATATGTTCTAAAAAGATCTTCTTCCAAATGGTGAGATTGTTGCAGTTTCTTGGATCAAACCGAGAAGAAGGTGCAGGCCTTCTCTTTCCATTAGCCGTACTTCCACAGAAATAACAAATTCCTTGTTGTCCTATACCTAAGAAATATCAACCTTTCTTGCACCTTTGAGATATCCGAAAAATATATAAAATAAAAAGCCAAATGAAAGTTGGTCCACATAACCATTGCCGGATTGCCTCTAGATTTGAGAATTGAATCAAATAATCATATTTCAATTCAAACTTTAAGTAATTTACACTTAAAATATAGCTTGAACATGTCTTTTAGCTACTTATACGGTTATACCAGTAGCTCTCCTTATGGCAATTCCAAACATGTCTCATTTATGGTACAGTATACCAATATCAAAATCTAAAGTATGCTACTAACAATGAAAATAAATATCATTACATTGTACTATTAATAGTTAAGTATAACCAAATAACCGTATCAAAACTAAAATATGTTACTTATAAATAAAGAAAAACATCATTAAATCGTATTATAAAATACAAGTAACTGAGGGTAATCAATAAATTATTATTTTCATATCTCTCCTATCATGTGATTTAAAAAAGAGTTTAATGGCTAATGCTAAGGAGATTAAATTTTTTAACCACATTTGCAAACCAAATAATATATCACCAATAAGAACAAGCACGTTAACCAACACTTAATTAATAATCCAATCATTTGCAACCATTTTATTTGATTTGCAAATTTGATTTAAAAATTTAGCTCCTTTAGCATTACCCTTTAAAAAAACAGAGAAATGTTAAGGAGACTATCTCAAAAATAAGACTTTCTAAAGATTTTTTGCCACCACACATTTTTTGAACAATGATTTATAATGTTACCACCTCACATTTTGCCCAATGATGGTATGGGGAAGAAAATACTCAATCAGAAGAATGCTAAAAAAATTCTTTTAAAAGTGAAACTCTTTATAAATTTTTTGTTACCTCATTTTTTAACATAATTTTTTTACCAATATTATAAATATTATGCTAAACACGTGAGGTCACGGAGAATAGCATTTCTCATTCGATTAAGGCACTACATTTGTTTTCAGTCAATCGTGTCCAAGATGCCTCTGGATACGAGAACTGGTATTCGAAATCACATTGGGAGAAAGACAAACTAAATAAAGTCGAACAACCCCATTAAGTTTCTTGAATGAAGATTATTATTTAAGAAAAAAACAATTAGTGCCTTATTTGTATTTGAATCCAGATTCTTGTTGGATCCTTTTTGTGAGGATTCATTCGACGAGGATTTCAAAGATTCGTCAATTTTGATCATTTATTGTACATCGTGCTGTCAGAAATTATTTTAAATATTTTTATTTAAAATTAAACATAAATAGTATTTAATAAAAACTGACCACACAATGTACATTAAATGTACACAATTCACGAATTTCCAGAATCTTCTTTAAAAAAATCTGAAGAGGATCCTGTTGGTTTATATTTAACCATATGTGGATTATAATAACGTTTGTCTTGCTTTGGATTCAACCAACTCTGCAAGAAATTTCAAAGCCAACTTTTTAGTGCCCCCCTAATTCATAAAGAGAACAAAAGCTTTATAAAAGCAAAAAATTTGACTTCATCATAAACATTTGTTTTGTCAAACGATAAGATTATATATTAAACTATCTAAATTACATAAAAGAACATTTGAACATGCAGATGATAGAGTTCATGGTTCTAGTAAATTTGGCTAAACTCAAGCTTATTTTGATATAGGTTAGGATGAACTGTTAATTTAGTTCCTGAGTTCTCACCTCAGTAAAAATTATAAAAATCTGCTAATTACATCTGTAATATTATATTCAAAGCTACTATATTCAATTTTTTCATCAATTTAGGTCACGTTAATTGCATATGATATACATTGGATGATAGATTGACAGTTTTTCATAAAGAAATAGTATATGTAGTTAACTTTGAAGGGTAAATTGGTAATTTTTCATAAAAAATAGTGTAAGTTACCTTTGAAGGATTACACGCTAGATCCGCAACCTATATGAAATGTTAAGAGCTTATATGAGCTAAAGTGTGTAAGTTAACTTTGAAGGATAAATTACACTCTAAAGTGTGTTAAGTAACTTAAGTTGACGAAAAATTGGATAAAATAACTTTGAATATAATAGTAGGGATGAAATTAGCAATTTCTAATGAATTTAGAGACTTATTTTACTAAACAAATAATTTAGAGATCTAATTTTCACTGAGATTATAGTTCAAAAACTAAATCGACACTTCATCTTATATGTTAAATATATTTTACATTTTGAATATGTGATACTATTTCGTCTTACTGTATTTGGTCTTCATGTTGTCTGCAGTCGGAGTCTATGGACAAATAGTTTAGGGGATGCTAGCTAACTTTCTTCTGCCCTTTTCCATCTTGCCTTTCCCACTCATTTGTTGCCACGTGTGCTCTATTATCTCTTAAAATTTAGTTGTTTTTTGTCAAACATAATACAATTCATCAGTAAAGATGGCTATTACAAAGTAAGGAAAGCTCAAAAAAGGCAGCCCAAAACAAACAAGTAAAAGCACAACCCAACTTAAGAGAAAATACAATGAACATGTCCAAACAAGAGGCCGTCCGTAGTAAATTCTAAACTAAAAACCCTAGATTTGAAATAAGAAAAATGCCACCTCCTCCAAGCACAACGGTTCATAATGTTAGGAGGAAAGGAAATCTGCTTAATTATGATTCCATTCCATGCACAACGGTTCATAAAAAAAACATGCATGATAATTCTTTTTTTTTTGACAAACGATAACGTTAGTGGGTTAAATTGTTAAATGTTAGGAGGAAAGGAAATCTATGGAGATCAACTCGTACCATATTATATAAGCATTATTATTTTTCGCCACTACGGTAAAACGACATCTACGAACATGCATGATTATAGATTGTTGTTATTGATTCCATAATCCTAGAACTAGAGAAATGTAATAAGACTCTCTCACAATAGGACTCTCATAGACTATTTGCAACCTCATGTTTTTTACACCATATTTTATAAAGCTAGCACCAAAATTGTGCCAAAAACGTAAATTGACGGAAAGTTCATTAAAAATCCCACTTTTAAGAAAGTATTCTTAACATTTTCCCATAGAACCAATGCCTTAAATCAACTGAAATCATTTTTGTGGATTGACCAACATGAAACTGAACACCCAAGCAAGAAATTAATGTGACGAAATTATTGTATGAATTCCCATGTGATTGCGAATTAAGTGGTCTACGTAAACAGATGACTAACCTTTTTATATCTCTTAGAAAATGATCCAGATCGCACCGTACGTCATCGGTGACTGCTACTTGCTAAATATCAGCAGCGACCGACTATTCAACTTCAACACTTGTCAACAACACACGTAAGAATTAAAAGAAGAGTATCTCAAATGATAACAAAAACGAGTTTTTATATAATAAATTTGGTGGAGAAAGATTATGAGAGATTAATTTTTCGGTGATAGTCGCGTCGAGGCATATATCTTCTCTTGTGGCAGTGATACCATTACACCCAGAAACCCTTAGCCCGTCCGTTCTCCACCATTTTTATTAATAAATAAAATGGAAAGTAAACGCCACTTACTACGTATTTGTAATATCATTTATACTACTTCTCTAATAAGACATACTAACATCATTACCCTCATTATTTTGTCGATTATGAGCCTTTGGGCTTGGATTTAGTTAAATTTCTTTTAGTCCGATTTGGTTCGGTTTCTTTAGCCCAGCCCAGTATGATTAGGCCCACATCAAATTCTACACAAAACCCTCGTCTTGGCTAAAACCCAATACAAAAAGCCCAAGAGAAAAAACATTTTATTTATTTCTGTAACTCGTCCGAACACTCACCGCCACCGCAGCTCAAGACCCTTAAACCCTGCTCTCTCAACACACTCGATTTCCAGAACCAGACGTCAAAACGGCACCGTCTTTCCTTCCCAAAATTCGACTGAAGAATCTCGTCGTCAGCTCTGCAATTCAAACTTCGTATTGAAGATGTGAGTTCCAATTCACTTTCGCACACTTTCTGTTTGGTTCCCGGGAAAATTTCACTTCGCCTGGTTTCTAACGCACAGCAAGGTTTTTTCAATTTTCAGGTCGAGGATTTGCGTCAAGAATTTGCCCAAGCATGTGAAGGAGGACCGGCTCCGGGAGTTCTTCTCGGCGAAAGGAGAGATTACGGACGCGAAGCTGATGCGGACGAAGGAGGGGAAGAGCCGGCAGTTCGCGTTCATCGGGTTCCGGACGGAGAGGGAAGCTCAGGAGGCCATGAAATACTACGACAGGTCGTTTTTAGATACTTGTAGGATTAGTTGTGAGATTGCGAGGAAGGTTGGGGATCCGGAGATTCCGCGGCCGTGGAGCCGGCATTCGAAGAAGGAAGGGGGAGGGGGTGGAGGCGAGGAGAAGAGCAAGAAGAAGGAGGAGCGCGGTGGTGGAGTGAAAAGCCGGAGTCTTGAGGTGAAAGATGAGAGTGGTGATGTTAAGCTTCAGGAGTTTTTGGAGGTGATGCAGCCGAGGGCTAAGTCGAAATTGTGGGCGAACGATGCAGTGGCGGCTCCTGTGGCTGAGAAAATTGGGAAAAGCAAGAAGGAAGGCGAGGAGAAATCAGGAGCTGAGAACATTGGAAAAACCAAGAAGGATAGTGAGGAGAAATCAGTTCCGGCGGCTATGGAGGAGGTAGAGAAAGGTGTTAAGAAGAATGATAAACGCAATGTAGCTAAGGACGATGTTATTTCGGATATGGATTACTTCAAAAGCAGAGTGAAGACTGAATGGTCAGATTCCGAAAGCAGTGGCTCAGAGGATAATGATGATGATGGTGATGAGGAGGAGGAGGAGGAGAAAGAGTCTCGAAAAGTCAATGCAAAGGAGCAAATTAGAGTTCACGAAGAAAAGGATGGAGAGAAGGGGCCTTCTGAGGATGCTAATGGCCAAGTAATTGACGAGAGCAATCCGTCATCCAATTCGAATGATGAGAATGAAGAAGCTTTCGAGAGTGGTCGTCTTTTTGTTCGTAATCTGCCATTTACAGCAACTGAGGAGGAGCTGGAAGAGGCTTTTAGCAAATTTGGAGATGCACAGGTCCATCTTGTTATTGATAAAGAGACGAATCGTTCCAAGGGATTCGCTTATGTTCTTTACAAGCTTCCAGAATGTGCAGAAAGGTACTCATTTTGCTTCAAAGCTCACATGGTTCAATAACTTAATGATATCATCCATGACAAATATCATGCTATGTAAAACTTGTACTTCTCAAGTTTCATACCATGCCTTGATATGCCAAGGCCCAACTTTTCCAAGTTTTGTGTCCTAACAAATTCAAAAGAAGTAGAATTTTGCTAAAGAACCGTTTCAATTGCCGGTTTATCTAGGTTGAATTTTTTGCGTTCAAGTCTCTTATGTTGGTTATGATGTTTGAGCGAGTGCATGACGTTTTGGTTTGCTAATTCACACATGTTTTCTTAATAAATATCATTGTTGATTCGTCTTTCCTCTCTTTTGGTGAAGGGCATTAGAAGCATTAGATGGTTCAATTTTCCAAGGAAGATTGTTGCATGTTATGCCAGCAAGGCAAAAGAATCCAACTGAGAAGCTAGGGTAAGTAGTTATCCTAAATTGCCTGCTTACCTTAATGTCGCTTTTCTAGGGAATTTTATTGTGACTACTCTTTTATTGGGATTTGTTCTGACTTCGTACTTGCACTCTGTGATTGAATTTGACATTGCTTACCTCATAGGGCTGATGATTCAGCAAGCCAAGCTTCAAAATCTCTTAAGAAACAAAGGGAGGATAAGAGGAAAGCATCTGAAGCTAGTGGTGATACAAGAGCATGGAACAGTTTGTTTATGCACCCTGATACGGTATGTTAAACATAGTTACAAACTCACAGTATTGTATTAACACACACTTTTTCCAGAAACAGGTGGTATCTGAACATGTTTTGATTTTGAGATTGTTCTACCGCCCTCCATACTTCTCATCATTTTAATAATTTCTCTAAAACATGCAAAACCTTAATTGTTTGTTTTTGTCTTGTTTTGACGCTGGAATAGCATCAACTTTTACTGCCGTGCTTTATTGAGTTACTTTCTTTTTGTTTGATGATGCTTCATTTCTTATTTTTGTTTGACAGTGCTTCATTTCTAATTTTATATCATATTAAATAGGTTGTTGAGAACATAGCTCGGAAGTATGGTGTGAGCAAGGGTGATTTGCTTGACCGAGAAGCTGATGATCTTGCTGTACGGATTGCTTTGGGAGAAACTCAAGTGATTGCAGAGACCAAAAAGTCTCTTACAAATGCTGGTATAAATGTGGAATCTTTAGAGAATTTTGCTTCTGGGAAAACTGATGGTGTTAAAAGAAGCAACCATGTTATACTGGTGAAGAACTTGCCTTATGGTTCTACTGATGGTGAACTGGCGAAGATGTTTGGGAAATTTGGGAATTTGGAAAAAGTCGTTCTCCCGCAGACGAAGACATTGGCCTTGGTATGTATTCGTGTGTTCTTTCATCAAAGGCTGTTTCTTAATTTTGATTTAGTTTACAGCAGATGTGCATCTGCTAGGTTGATGTTAAAAACATGTTTACTGTGTTTTCATCTTGTATTTAGGTTCTTGTAAATTATTTTCTGGAAATCATGTTCCTGACTGCTAATTAAAAGGCAGTTAGACTCTCTACCTTTCACATTTCAGTTCAGACATCATTGTAATGATTTGCCTTGCGAATGCATAAATTCATCTACTGTTTTGTCAACGGTTTTTTTAATTCCTTGCCCTACCACCTGATATAAAATTTTTGGCGTTCTGATCAAGGTATTGAAACTTTTCTATGTTCTCTAATATAGTTTTATTTAAGAAAAGAAGGGATGAGCGAGATACAAGAAAAACTGTTTTTGATAGGTATATCAATTTTTAAGTGACCCTACCGTAGTTCAATAGGTGTGAAGTTGTTCACTAATGTGGAGAGTGGACTTTTTGACTTGTAGTCTGATAGTTTCTGGTAGTTTACCAGAGTGTGGAACAAAGCTTGACGATGGTCATTCAGACTAAGGCAATGAAAGTGTGGAAGTGGCACGGTTCTATGAGTCATTAAGATTTTTTGAAATCTGTTTTGACTGGCCATACTTGGCTTGCGTCCATCCTAGATTAGAAGAGATTAGTTTTGTGATGTCTAAGAAAATCGGACACTTTGCTTTTGGTTTCTAATTAGTTGAGTTTTTCAACTCCTCTTTGACACTGGCTGATCAGATGTCTTATTATGTACTTTTATTCTCCCACTCTTTTGATACTGCAGAGGGGAAGAAACTTCTAGATTACTGATCATATTAGTCTACTATGATGTTGTGTTGTTAAAGAGTGATTCTCTACTAATTCTTTTCTTGAATTATTAATGTTCAGGTTGTTTTTCTTGAACCTGCTGATGCTCGAGCAGCTTTTAAGGGTTTAGCATATAAGCGCTACAAGTAAGTGTTGCAAAATATTGTATGTAGGATCCATTTTTCATGTTGTATCCTCTTTGTTGGGGGTTTTGTGTGTTTCTTTTTTTTTTTTTTTTTGGGGGGGGGGGGCGGAGTGGGTGGTGGCTGCTGCCTGCTAATATTCTCATAGTTTTGAAACGAGCTGGTTTTTATTAGCTTCCTTGAGTACAAATAAAAGATACATAGTATAAAAGAGAGTAAAGCAGAGATCTATTGACTTCGATGGCTTACTTATTTTTACTTCTCGTATCTTTGCCCTTGGGTCAGTGACAGAACGAATTCTCAACAAATGTAAAATAAGTCCCGACGAATATAAGGCCTAGAACCATGTCCACAAAAATGAAAATTGAAAAGTACCCTTATCCACTTGGTATCTTTATGCATAAGTATATGGGTTTCTTCTGTAGGATATCTGTTGTGGTACATGATCTATTGTATAAAAGCAGGTGCTTATGTAGAAGAATAAAAATTTGTGTCTTTGTTGAAAATAGTTGCTTGATCATCTCATCTGTTGATATGGGCATTTGTACCAATAGCTGCAATAAATTCTTTTTGTTACTCAGTTACTCAGTTATGTCAGACACTAACCATCCTTTTCCCTATGTACAATGATACAGGGATGGTCCTTTATATTTGGAGTGGGCTCCCGGCAATGTTCTTAGTCCAAGTTCAACAACAGAGAGCATTGAAAAGAACAATGCTGTTGTTGGTGAGCATGATGTCAAAAGGGTTATGTTAGAGCAGTATGTGGGAGGACTAGCAGATGTGGACGCTGATCCAGATAGAGTTGAGGTTGATGTTTGTATGCTTTCTGTTTTCTGTAGTTTTATTTCTTCTTCCTCATTTTTCTACACATCTATTCTTATGACAAACAAATTTGGTGTGCCCACATCTTAACTTCCTAAGTGCAGTTAAAGAATGCTCACAATCCTTTGTACACAATTAGTATTGCTAGGAGACCACCATCTATGGCTGGGTTCCAACTGACCCTACTTAAACGCCTTCAAGTGTTTATTCATGCGAGCTTATAATGCTGCCTTAGTTGATGGCTGTTGTAGCCATCCATAGAGCCTTTTATATACGTGTATATATATGTTGTATACTATAAGTGTATGGTGTATATATGGCTTGTGTAATCTTGTTATTCAATTATTTGATTTTATCATCCAATAGGAACCTATGCAAAGCATTGTTTGTGTTACTGCTACAAGACAAAACTCTCGTTTGTTGATGAGAAATTCTGCAATTTTAATATTGTGCAATTCATCTTCCGTTTAACTGCCATTTAAAGTTCAATAATGTCAAAATTGTGTATTCTTTAGGCATAACTTTTACCGGTTGACGAAACTTAGTTGATTATTCTGTTAGAGATTAAAGCTGGTAACGTTTGGAGGTTTCCTTAGAGCTTTACATTTATGCTGCCATTTCTTGTCTACGTGTGGCTTATTTTTGTTTTCTTTTACATTTTCCTTGTTCTGTTACGTCTTGCCTAGCCAATATAATAATTATTCTGTCTTTGTTGTGTAACATTCTCCAGTCACGATCTCTATATGTGAAGAATCTGAGCTTTAAGACATCAGACGAGAGTTTGAAAAAGCATTTTAGTGGACAAGTGAAGGAGGGAAAACTATTAAGTGTCAAGGTAATAATCAGCTGCCTAGAAGCGGTACTTTTACTTGATAGGTTTTCTTGTCTATATCCTCTTTTCTCTATTTGCAGGTAAAGAAACACTTGAAGAATGGGAAGAATGTTTCAATGGGTTTTGGTTTTCTGGAGTTCGATTCTGTGGAGACGGCCACAAATGTTTGCCGGGATTTACAGGTGAAGCCAGAATCTGGTGAAAATTATTGCATTCGGTATACAATTGTGGAAATTCATTGCAATTAATATTTACCATTTTCTAGGGAACTATTTTGGACGGGCATGCTCTTATTTTGCAACTGTGTCATGCCAAGAAAGATGAAGTGCCTAAAAAGGTTGACAAGGATAAAAGTTCGACAAAATTACTTGTGAAAAATGTAGCTTTTGAGGCCACAGAGAAAGAACTGAGACAGCTATTTAGTCCATTTGGCCAGGTGAGTTACTGAACTTTGATGAGTTACTAGATTCTGGATCGTCTAATATTTTTCGTGCAGATTTTGTGCTTATGACTTGAAGTACGTCATTTCACACCTTGTTTGATTGTATCTACTATAATTCTTAAACAGTAGATTTTAGACAGTTTGTTATCCGTGAACCCTAAGACGATGTTGTTTTAGCCATCACTGTGTTATCCCGTGTCCTTGCTCCCTACAGCAATTTTCCAATGTATTGTCATTCTATAATCGCCTTTAATTTCTTGTTGTATGCAGATTAAAAGTTTACGGTTGCCAATGAAGTTTGGACAGCATAGAGGATTTGCATTTGTAGAGTTCATCACAAAGCAAGAGGCCGAAAATGCTCTTAAAGCGCTTTCGAGCACCCATTTGTACGGTCGCCATCTGGTAAGGCATTGAAAGTAATTTAGACATGTGAATCCTCCTTTATAAAGTAGAAATCAGCTGTATGACTAGTTCCTACGAATTCCAGGTTCTGGAGAGAGCAAAGGAAGGTGAGAGCTTGGAAGAACTACGAGCGCGAACAGCTGCTCAGTTCGCAGACGAGCAAAACGGGGTTTCCAGGAAGAGGAAGCACTTGGCCACCTCGGACGAAGGCAAATTCAAATTTGAGAGAATTGAATGAGATTTCAGTTTGGTATGTACCGTCTGCGTTAGATGATTATCTGAGTTGTTGTTTTCTTTTGTTTTATGGTATAATTAATTTTAATTTTGTTAGGGTAGCCCCAGTTTTGCTTTGATGGGATCATACAAGTTTTGTGTAAATTAACAAATGCTACTCTGATTGCATAAATGTTCAAATTTAATTGGTCATTCACCACACCAAAGATGAACACCCTAATTAACGATCTAGTTGTGGAACAATTTACGTCGGGAAAATCCGCTTTCATGTTATGGAATCTTGTTTATTTGCTATGACGAATTTATGTTACGTATTTTCAGCATGCTGTGTGTCTTTTTATTTGATATAGTTAAAACACTTTATTAATTTAAAAAAGATTTACAAAACTAAAACTGATCATTTTGGCCAACTTATTGTCAAATTTTCCCTAAACTATTTTTTCAGCTAATTTACCCCCTAAACGATATAAAAAGTGGCAATTTTTCACCTTACCTTTGAACTTTTTTTTTTTTTTTTTTTAGTACAACGACATATTTTACACTAAGGGAGAAGGGAAGTTCGACTAAGCTGTACAATTTTTATTATTATTATTTTTTAGTACAGTGATATATTTTATACTAAGGGAGAAGGGGAATTAGACTAAGCCACAATAGGCAACCTAATTTGGGATCGAATCAGTCATTCACGAGATTCGAACTTAAGACCTTTTCCTTACAAGTGAAGAGAAATATCACTAGACCTAGTACTGAGTGGCACCTTACGTTTAAACTTTTAAACTTAAACAGAAATTCTGTTAAGTCTTAAGAGATATTATCTTAACAAGGAGAGAAAATAATTTAATATTAAGCACCAAGATCCTAATTTTTTAAGCACCAAGATCCTAATTTTTAAGTTTTCCTTCCACCCACGTAAGCAGTAGCTAACTAGTAATTGATTAATTTTTGGGGTTATTTTCATAGGGGTACCACGTACTAAGTAACTTGAAAATTGTCAAGGCCCTAATAGAAAATAATTTACATAATTTACGGTTAACATATGTCCATATGAAGAAGGTTCCCTTGTATCTAGGTAATGATCCGTTTCTTAAGCATTAAGACCAGGTCCAAGAACAACCCAGCTCTTAATCAATAATCAATCACATAAAGGCTCGTTTGGAAATGTTTTTCAAATGGTTGAAAACGTTTTTTAGAGAAAATATTTTTGAATTCTATAAGCACTTGGAAGTGCTTTCTGTAAGAAGCACTTCCAAGTACTTTTCCACGATTCACTTGAATTTTTATTAAGAATTGGTTCCAAAAATATTTCCACTAAAAACATTTTTGCTATTTTAAAAACATTTTCAAACGAGTTTGTCAACTATTTGGTTTCGTGTTAAACTAATGATCATGCCAAGGCTGAATGTGAGCATGTGCTTAAGAGCTTTGAGTACAATGGCGATGGCAAGATTTCATTGACTGAGTTCACTGATGCACTCAAAGCAGTCGGCTCTTCTTTGCCGGACCAAGTCCAGCGAATGAAGGAGATCGACAAGGATCGCAATGGCTTCATTTCATTCGAGGAGCTGTTCGATTTCCAACATGCCAACCCTGATTTGATGAAGGAAGTCGTCAAGCGACTGTAACAAAAGAAGATTAATTGTATTATATTTACCCACCATTTCTCTCACAAAAATTTCTCTCGTATATACAAATCGATCTTGAAGGCATGGTGATAAAGTGTGGTGAGTAAAAAAATGACATATAGCACTACTCAAACTTTTTTTATACAACTTAATTCAAACTTTAAATATATAGTACTCATATGAAGAGACTTTTTACTTATCATTCTAGAAGTTCATTAATTTACATATTTATAAGGTTTTTTGGGTTCATTTATATACTACGTATAGCTTTCATGTGTTATTAGCCATAAATTTTCGTTGTCACCTCCACCATTGTATGATGTTGTCAATTCACTCACATAACCCATGTATCTATTTTAATAATATTATAGTCCAAGTCTATAAAAATATCAATCTTGTCCACTAATATTAAGACTTTTGATTGTGATCGTCACTTGGTATATTAATCCATGTGTTATAAAATGATTGATATTTTGTGGACATAAGACATATAAGTTAAGCATAATACTAATGATACATGATACTAGGATTATAACACGTGATTAGTAACACTACAGTTAGGATACATTTTTAGTTGCGTGTGATGTATCTTCCTTTAATTTCCATATACCATTTATAATGAAATATAGTTTTAAAGTAAATATCTCGTGGTTTTGTGGCTGCTGATGAATAAAAGGAGTCAATAGCCTACGTGGCTACGTAGCTTTTGGCCGCCAAGTAAGATTGAAATTTCATCTAGCTAGAACGAATGTAGTCAAACTAGTACAAGATAGTGATCGAGTTATGCTACAAATCCACACAACTAGTCAAATAATAGATTGCACGTTATCCCATACTATTATTGCTGCTCCCCCTATGTCCCAAATTATCAAAAATTAATAATAATAGACAGAAACTTTGACTTCAATTACATGTTAATTAATTATTTGTGCCCGCGAGTTTTCATTTATTCTCTGAAGAAACAAGAAGAGGAGGCTTATTTTGTCAAACTACTACAATTTCTTTTAATAAATCGACTGATAGAAACTTAAAAGAAAGGAACTGTGATAATATATGTTATTCATGCAGAGAAAAGCATTAACATCAAACGGTGAAAAAAAAGTCCCGCATGCTTTGTGGGCGTGTCTATTGCCCTAACTATGTTACTAGCTACCTACCTAGCTATAACTAAATAGAAGTGATGGATTTAGAACACAGTCGACCATTGGTCTGAGCTCATCCCAGTTTCCGTTCGATGTTAACATCTCATATTCATTTGGACTATTCGGAAAGCTTATGTAAGAGTATGGATCGATTACTTCGTCTTTCAAGCTCAGCTGGTCTCGGAAGAACGGGTTCCCTTCATAAATATGATCATTATGGACAAGAGGACTCCTCTCAGATTGATCCTTAGCAGCCAAAGCACCAAAAGTTGTATCTGACTCAGAACTGCATGTTTTAGAACTCGAGTCAGCCACACTTTGTTTGGGATTCAAGGTTGTCTTATGCCAATTTGATGTATACTTTCCACTCGAAGTATTATTGCGCTTCATAATCCGGCAAAGTGTCCAAACTTCCTGCAATCATATGAATATAATTAATTAGTAATCATATAACATCTTTATAGTGAATAACAAAAACTTTTCAATGGACAAAAGCAATTTTCAAGATATTATATTGTTAAAAATATTTTCTCAATTAGGTCGTTTTCGGTGGTTAAAAAAAAATATTATGTCGTTTTAAATGTGTAATCTAATTCAGAGTCTGATTATTAGTGGATGCCAAACATCGAGTAAGAAATGTACAACTAGGAATATTGAATATATAATACTACAAATCGCTATTTAAGATGAATTAATCTTACAGCTTCTTGAGTACTGTTTTTGATGCCAGAGGTATCATTGCTTGAATTAGCTGAAAGACGAAACTCGTGCATCATCCAATCGGTTTTGGTGCCTTTTCCAGCGCTCCCTCTGTAGTAAACTAGGGATTTCTTCAAGCCAATGCAGCTGTGAAAGTCCCCAACCGAATATACAGGTTTATCAATACCAGTGGCTTTCCAAAACCCAGACTTTGTCACCCTATTAGGTCTTATGCTATTTTTGTATTTCTGTCCCCTTCTGCAAAAGAAGTACCACTCCTTGTCCCCAACACTACCGCTAGCTTCTGCATTAACAAATGGAGAAACAAAATTTGAGTAAACACAAAAAATAATACGTAATTTCACTGTACGTACGAATCGATTAATTTTCTGCATGCATGCTTTACTCACAAGTTGTATCTACATAAAATCATGAACAGATACGTTGGAAACAATTTGAAGTAGTTAGAAACTGAAGGAGATAAAGAAGCATACTTGGAAGATCCCAAGGGTCATATTTGTAAATATCGATATGCTTGATTAGGTCAAAACGAATGGGTTTGTTCTCCACCTTCCTACGAAGGTAAAACCTCACAAGCTCTTCATCTGTAGGATGAAAGCGAAACCCAGGAAGCATATTTGCATCTTGATCCTTATGAATCATGTTATTTGAATCACAAGTACTCATCATCTTCTGATTTACCACCTCCATTTCTCTTTAGCTTCTTTCTCTTGGTGTATTCTGATGATCCATTTATATATTGGAGGATTTATAGCATCCTTCATAGTGTGAAGAGATTGATTTGGTCAAAGTCGCGTGTATTGACTGACAAACATATATTGAAATTGTCACTTTTGGTTGGGAGGCAAAAGGTTAAGAAGTGAGGGGATAATATCATGACTGTCTTTAATTAGGGTCAGATGTTTGGACTTAGAGACAAAGACAATTATAAAAAATTGTGTCGTATTGGATTGAAAATGATTCCTATGTTAGAATAATGATAGAGAGATTAAATTTGTACATAAAATTTTGTAAGTTAAATTACTTGAAAATTGATGATTGAATTATTACTTAAACGTTGATAAACATGCTTATTTTTTATTGGTGACACATCATTTAGTTTGCAAAATAAGTCTACAAATTTAATCTTCCTTGCATTACTTCCTTTATTAATAGGCAATTAATAGAGGAACATTTGACTAAATTTACAATTTAAAACAAATTGGGGCAATTATGTAGGAAAAATTGGTATCCGGTTCCTAGTTTCTAATGTTTATTGACTAAAACCTTATCAGTTTTTAGATTTTGATCAAAGTCCCTAGTATTAATATATTAATGAATTATGATGAGTAGATTTTATATTATTTTGGTTAATATTTTGGAAGAATTTTGATATTTTGAATTGTATTTTCATTATAGTACTTTCGACTTTCTCTGGAGCAAAATATGACCAAACGGACCAATTTTGGAGTAATTCCAGTTGGAGGACGTTCGTCAATTAGTTAGTTTAATCGTATCAAAATATCATATTTTTCCACCAAGCAGTGATATTTTGGCGAATAAATAAAGGAGCGATGAGCGGTGTTGGAATAGTGACATTTTGTGCTTGACTTGTGTTTTTGGAGCCCAAGATGACCTCGGATGGGTTTGTGGCTTTCTGGAGATTGCGAGGAGATTTGAGGTTAAAACGTGGCTGGACAGTTTATGTGCAGTTTATCCTAACTTAATTAGGACTTTA